GCGTCTTGTTCTTATGGCTGCCCCGACGACTGACATGTGGTGCCGTTGCAGAATTTCTCTGACGTTATCTTTCCATCTTGTTCTTGGTTTACCCTGTGCTCTATGTCCTTATCCTCTTTTAGAGTAGGCCTTGTATGGTTTGTAAGTAAATTATACCCCACCAGGACCTCACACAAGCGATAAACACCCGGTGACACAGAGTGCCACACGATGCGAATGAGGATCACCATTGGAGAGGTCCCAGAAGCGCGTTCAACCGTTGGGTTATATTGCGGACCCAACAAAAGCCGGATCGGGGCTTCCAAAAAACGAAAAATTGCGTCCCACATGTTGACAACTATCAATTGTATGGTATGGCGTCCCAGTGCATTTTTTCCCCCAAGTGGACTAACCATCTGATGTGCTATTTTTGTTATGCAGTTTAGAACTGGTTCTGTGCCGCCTTTTTCTCTTGGACCTCATTTCTGCTTTTACTTTTTCAGAAATCGCGCCAGTGTCAGAAACTCACTATCACGGCAGTAAATTTAAAAACCTAATCCCCAGAGACTTCCCTGAACTGGCTTAGAAAACAGTGTACACGCACAACATGAATACTGGTCGAGTTCATGACTAGGCTGTGATCGATGTCACTTGCAATTTGATCACTAGGGCCGCTGTGTGACACTGCAGACGTGTCAACACTGTCGTCAGGGACATGCTACGCCATAACAACCGACCTCAGTTTCCGGTATCAACGGACTATTTTTGAGTCTGCGATGTTCGTTAGGCACCGCGATTTTTAAATTAACTTGCAGTGATTGGTGTCCGGGGAAGAGAGAGGGAAATCAATGAAAATTAGAGGGATAATGGAGAATACACTATTTTATAAGAGTCGCCGTGGCATAGCGGCTAGAGGCTCGCGGGAGGATCGGAAGGTTGTGGGTTCGCTCCCTGGAGGAGCCGGACTTTTGTCAAAAATAACCTTGACAGGTCGACTCATCCTTGAGTGGGTACCGGGTGCAGTTCCAGGAAGTAAAGGCGACCGGCGTGATGCTGACCACATCACCCATCTTGTGCCAATTGGTCTATACAAATACAGCCTTATATGCCCTATACGCCTAAAGGCGTGGAAAAGGGACCTTTACTTTGTACTTTTACACTATTTAAGAAATGACTTATTAAGACCAAACAATAAGTCGGACAGATAGAACGACAGAGAGGCAGGCATACAGAGAGACAAAGAAAAAAATGATCGGCCGCCAGAATGTATAACGGATCGATCGATTTTAAGGCAAGCGGACGGAATACAGACAGACACGTAGACATGTAAACACAAATATATGGAAAGACTTCTACCGACCAACTAACAAATTTTCAGACAGGCTGAAGGACAGGAAAAAAAAAAGATCATCGACAACCAGACAGACATAGACACACACAGGCATGATGACAGAAGGACAGAAACAAAACAGAGAGACACTGACAAAGACGCATCCAGACAGACAAACAGTGCTACACAAACACGCAGATAAGATAGACACACACAAACAGATAGTAATAATTTCAACCAGAATTCCCCGTCTGCGTTTTGGCGCCCTATTTTGTGGGGGGGGGGGGTGGGTGTGTGGGGGTGTGGGGCTAAACCCACTGTACCCTAACAAGCATGTCGTAAGAGTCAATAATTAGCAACGTTTACTTCGAAGTAGGAGTGCATCAGCCTGAGAGACGAGGAACCCACAGTCTGCACACACATAAGCCAGATCTGTAAAACAGATGTGCAGGCAAAACTCAGGTGCGTTAGCGCAGTCGATACGAGGCTCGCTTTCAAATCCAGCTGCGACTCGCTGCAGCCACGGTCGGTGTTCGAAATCGGGCGGCTCTCGGGGTTTACCAAGTCTCTAGAAAATGGGTACCAGAGTTAAAACGATGGGGTAAATGGAGGAACGTCGCTGTAGCTACAGAGTTACCTGCGGACGGCCGACACAGGCGGACAGTTTCTCATCAGCTGTCCGTACTGGTGGCAGCACACTTATGGTTTATAACCGTGTGCAATGACGCTGGTTCACATCTCCCGACCTTACCTTTACCTTTAGGTTCTTTAACAAAACCAAAGCCTTGAAGTGGACGAACAACAAGAACTGTCCGCCAGAGTTTACAGACGGTGAAGAAAAAAAAAAGATTTCGACAGAATAAAACGGTGTCGTATACACTGCCCTGTTACAAATTAATGTTAATTAACATAGTTCTAGAATGTTAAACTCAGACACTGACTGAAGTATAAGTAGCCCGTGTGTGTTCTAGGACCCCATTAGAGGAGGGGGGAGGAGCATGAGTACAGACCCGCTGCATCCTAACAAGCATGTCGCAAAAGGCAGCTAATTAGGATTTGTTGAAATTAGACATGGTGGACCGACCGGCACAGATATCGAGGCCTAGCTGAAAACCACAACATAATTTGCCACCCGTGCTTGAATACAGAAGAAGAAGAAGATGAAGAAGAAGAAAAAGAAGAGGAGAAGAAGAAAAAGAAGAGGAGAAGAAGAAAAAGAAGAGAAGAAGAAGAAGAAGAAAGCTGTAAACCACAACATAACTTGCCACCCCTCCTTGAATAAAAAAGAAAAGAAGAAGAAGAAAAAGAAGAGGAAGGAAGAAGAAGAAGGAAGACAAAGACGAAGAAGAATAAGAAGGAGGAGGAGAAGAAAGGATCAAGATATTATACAACAACAATGGCAACAAACACGACTACGAAAATGATAGCATGAAAAGAAGAAGAAGAAGAAGAAGAAGAAGAAGAAGAAGAAGAAGAACTACTGTGCTGTAGTTTAAAGCTAGGCTGCGATATCCACTCCTTTTGGCTCAACATATCCTATTTCAGGAAGCACCTTATTGATCGCCTTTTATCTTCTTCTTCTTCTTCGTGTTCACCGGCTGTAAACTCCATGGGAAAGTTCTGGTTGTTTGTCCACCTCTGAACTTTAGCCTTATTCCAGAACATGAGTGCTATGTGCACATCCATTTAACAGATTTGACTTTATTGTATGCAGATTGTTGGTTCCTTACCTCTCCGGCAGATGCACTCCTACTTTGAAGAAAGCCTCCAATTTGTCGACTCTTACGACATACTTGGTGGGGAGGCAGTGGGTTTATTTTAGTTTCCCCACAATGGAGACCCAGAGCTCCCATGGGAAATCACCTTTTATGACATGCATGTTGGTAAGTGGGACAGTGGGTCTATTTTAGTTTCCCCACAATGGAGACCCAGAGCTCCCATGGGAAATCACCTTTTATGACATGCATGTTGGTAAGTGGGACAGTGGGTCTATTCTCCTTGCCTTGAAAATAGGGATCCTCGAACCAATAAGAAAAGCTTAGGTAGTTACAATGGAGAGCACTGCTAGAAAATAGTTCCAGAAGGTCCAGGGGTCTATGAGACTTGATTCAACAATTAAACACAATGCCCCCTGTCCAGCAGGACAGTCCTGCAGGAAAGTACACTAAAAATGCTGATATAATGAAGACTAACAACAGTTATGTTTTTAGGGAATCATTTCATGGTGTGGTTTCAATCTTTTCCACGGTGCAACCCTCGTACCAATGTCCAACTCTCATACCACTGTTTAAAGACCACAAGAATGTTTTTTTCACATACTGTGCCAGGGAAATCAAACCCTAGTCCTTAGGGATCAAAGAATTGTCAAACATATTCACTAACCTCTACGACACACAGCCACATGCAGGAACATAACCCAGAGATAAACAGAAAAAGAGTGAGTCAGTGAGTAATTGAGTAAGTGAGTGAAAGAGAGAGAGAAAGAGTGTGTGAGAGAGCAAGAGAGAAAGAGAGTGTGTGTGAGAGAGAGTGAGAGCAAGAGAGTGTGTGGGAGAGAGAGAGAGCATGTGAGACAGAGTGAGAAAGTGAGAGAAAGAGAGTGAGAGAGAAAGAAAGACAGTGTGTGTGTGTGAGTGTGTGAGAGAGAAAGAGAGTGTGTGTGTGAGAGAGAGAGAGAGATTGAGTGAGAGAGAGAGAGAGAGCATGTGAAAGAAAGTGAGGGAGAGAGTGTGAGTGAGAGAGAAAGGGAAAGAGCATGTGTGAGAGGGAGAGGGAGAGCACCTTTATTAGCAACTATGTGCTAAGCGCCACGACGGATTGGAAAAATTATAGCAGAAGGCATGGTACCAGGAAGGAGGAGAAAGGGGCCGACCGACACGAAGATGGGCACAGGATATAAGTGACTCCTTGAATGTGAAAATGCATGAGGCGGGAGAACTGGCGAGAGACCGAGTTTCTTTCAGGCAGACTGTGATGAGAGTGACGTTCTGCAAAGGACCTGCTACATGATGATGATGATGATGTGCTAAGCACTGCCACTTTTTAAAGACACTTTGAAAGAGCAGTTCAGGTGTTCTGTTGTGATTTACAGCTAGGCTGCAGTAAACTGTTCTCAAAAACTGTAGTTAAATTCTATTGGTTCTGGTTACACATGCCCAGTGTTTAGCAGGCCAGGATATAAGTACGGCAGCCAGGGTCGCTAACGTAGTTGGTTAAACCTGACTTCGCGGCGACCAGGTGATGAACTCCTTGTGGTCCGGGTTCATGCTCGGGGTTGGCCAAAAAAACACACCACTTTTCTCCTAGATTTACGGTATCTATCATGGAAACAAGGCCAAAGGGTTGCGATATCCATAGTACTGAGCCAAAGGGTTAACAACTCTTGGTTTCTGGATATTAAAAAAAAATAAGTACCACAACTGAAAGATCATGGTTGGTGTGGGGGTTCCCCTATGACCCTAATGGCATTTTTAAAGACAAGTTGACGTCAACCCTGAGGTGAACGTTGATGAGAGAAGCCAAAGGTGCTTGAGTAGATTTCATCCATCACACTGATGTGACTGCACAAGATAGAATAGAAAGGAGAAACAGACTGTGAGCCCTATGTGGCACATAATGACACAATAGTACAATGAATTAAAGACTGAAAGAAGAAGAAGAAACTAAACATTTACTCACTGAACAAACCTACCTGGCTGAACAAACTTGGCACTGTTAGTGCTGCCGTATAAATCCAACAACAGCCACAAGTTTTGATGTGTGGCCAGACCTAGCAGCAGAGCTCCCTTGTGTATCCCATTAATCAAAAGCTGCAGTTGGCCATGAAATGTCAGACACAATGTCAGACGACACCTTTCTGTTATCAAATTCTCATTTACCACCCTTACCCAGTAACCTTCTGTCTGTGTCAAGGCAGGATATGAGAATTTGGGCAGTTGGTCGGAATCAACTCCTGCTGGATCCACTGCAGTGACACCAATCCTCACTGCTGAACTCCAAATGGCCACGGAGGCCAGTTCCACGCAAATCTTTTGACCAAGCTTGATGGGCTGGTCGGAAAATACAATCCCATTGCAAAAGGTGTCTACAGATCTAGTTGCTATTGTCCGATTCTTGGTCAGCTGAATGGCTGATCCATGTGTAAGATGAAACTGCATCGCAGCAGAAAAGAATATGCAGACTGAAGCTTCATTTCACATCACTGCCGTCAAACTCCCAGCAGTTGGTCACATTCTGTACGAACAAGATATAAAAATACATCCATGTTTATCTCTTTCTATAAAAGTGAAACAGGAGAAACAAAGTGAAATGTTTAAATGTACACCTGAATATTTTCGTTTGGGTTTCAGGGCACCATATAAGAAAAACAAGAATAGACCCACTGCCTCCCAAACAAGCATGTCTTAAATGACGACTAACTGGGAGCTTCCTTTGACGCTGAAGTGCATCTGCGGAGAGGCAAGGAACCAACAGTCTGCATACAATTAAGCCAGATCAGTAAAACGGATGTACATGCAACACTCAGGTTTTGAAAAAAAAACAACATCCAGTGATAAAGAAACAACCAGAACTTTCTACCAGAGTTTACAGCCAGTGAATGCCAAAAAGAAAAAAGTTACCTGAATACTGTCACAAATTTCTAAAAACAGAAAGAACCAAAATCAGCTGGATATTCCAGAATTAATCCAAGTCACTGTTTTATCATGCCATGGGTCTTTGGGTTAGAATTCTCATGCAGATCAAGCAAAGGACCCTTTCCCATGCCTTGGGGCATATCGGGCACATAGAGCTAGACCTATGTTTGATAGACCAATTGGCACTCAGTGAGTAAAGTGGTCAGCATCACGCTGGCAACGTTTACTTCTTAAGGCTGTATCTGGTACTTATTTAAGGCTGGGTCGACCGGGGAACCGGGACAGTTTTTGAAAAAAGTCCAGATAGTTTATGTATTTATATCATAGTCAGCATACTTAATTATTTATATTATATTTTACATATAGTTTATGTATTTATATCATAGTCAGCATACTTAATTATTTATATTATATTTTACATATAGTTTATGTATTTATATTGTAGTCAGCATACTTAATTATTTATATTATATTTTACATATAGTTTATGTATTTATATCATAGTCAGCATACTTAATTATTTATATTATATTTTACATATAGTTTATGTATTTATATTATAGTCAGCATACTTAATTATTTATATTATATTTTACATATAGTTTATGTATTTATATCATAGTCAGCATACTTAATTATTTATATTATAATTTACATATAGTTTATGTATTTATATTATAGTCAGCATACTTAATTATTTATATTATATTTTACATATAGTTTATGTATTTATATCATAGTCAGCATACTTAATTATTTATATTATAATTTACATATAGTTTATTTATTTATATTATAGTCAGCATACTTAATTATTTATATTATATTTTACATATAGTTTTTGTATTTATATCATAGTCAGCATACTTAATTATTTATATTATAATTTACATATAGTTTATGTATTTATATTATAGTCAGCATACTTAATTATTTATATTATATTTTACAAATAGTTTTTGTATTTATATCATAGTCAGCATACTTAATTATTTATATTATATTTTACATATAGTTTATGTATTTATATTATAGTCAGCATACTTAATTATTTCTATTATATTTTAAATATAGTTTATATATTTATATTATAGTCAGCATACTTATTTATTAAATTAGATTATAGTTTATATATAGCTTATATTGTAGTCAACATACTTATTTATTTATATTATAGCTTATATATATAGTTTATATACTTATATTATAGTCATCATACTTATTTATATTACAGTCAGCTTACTTATTTATGTTATAGTCAGCATGCTATATTTATTTATGTGTATTATATTTTATATATAATTTATATTATAGTCAGCATATTTATTTATTTATTTATATTATAGTTTATATTTTGGTCAGCATACTTTTATATTTTATAGTTTATATACTGATATTACAGCCAGCTTACTTATTTACATATGACACAGCCAGCATCCTCAGTCCCGAGAAATGTTAGATAATACTACTAGTTTGACACGTGGTTGTTATAGAAATAAAAAAAAAATTTGAAAAGCTGATAACCACTATACCTGTAAAAAACTCTCTGACCCAAAAAATACTATCAAACTTCATGCAGCAAGTGTTTGTAAAATGCCAGAGACATTACAGCACTCCCAAAAAGACTTTTAAATCTTTGGCAGTTCCACTTTCTCATTTTTCAAACCTAAATGTCTTTGTTGGCCTGCAATCACTACCATGGTTGGTCTCATTCCATAAACTTGTTTTTGTTGTGGTTTGTTTTTTTGCCACTGTGATGTTTAAAATGGCTGGTGCATTTAACTCTTTGTGTCCCAGGGGGTTTAGCATCACAGGCCCAAGGGGTAGTCAAGAAAGAAGTAAAATCAGCGCATCTTGCGTTCATTGGGCTTCTAGGTAGGAATCTATGAACGTATGAAACGTTCCTTGGGACTCAGAGAATTAAGTTTCCAAGATATGATCAAGTAAGCCAGTTTGCTTCATGATGAAATGTAAAAATGTCCAGTAATTCTTCAATTTTGATCTATTGTATTCTGAGAATTGTTCTGTAATATTTCAGCTGGAAAGCCTTGATTTTCTTCTCTCCTGATTGTGAACGGATCCACGTTTACTAAACTTTATTGCCAGGCATTTTCGCTGTATGCTGGTACTATGTCTTATCAGGGCTTTACTTCTGGCAGTATGCAATGGTACACAGTACTGGCACCTTTTTTTAGGAAGAATAATTTTAAGTGCTAATGAAGCAGACACCTATTTGTAGTCACTCTGTGGTGAGCACCGGCACCTTGTTCTGTAATAAAAGTCTAGTTATGTCTTATATTTTTCTTTCTTTGTTGGATCTCTAAATTTCTAGGGTCATTCTCTTCAAACTTCTCTCCAAATTCTCAGAACTTTTAGAATTTTAGTAAAATTATGATTTTTAATTTCATCATTACGGATTGTAATTGCTTAAAATTTTGACTGACCATGCATTTCTGCAAATGTTGGTTATATTTATGTTAATACTATTAATAGCTTTGAAAGTGTCTAAGATTGTGTTGTGATTCCTTTAGTTACTGTTGCAACATCATTGGCCATTGGTTATTGAGGGAATTAAACCAAATCAGACTGTCCCACAATGTTTAACTGTGATATATGTTGGCAAAACTAAAAATTCATTATCAGTTAGTAATAAAAACAAAACAATAAAAGTTACATAACTAGTATTAAATTTAAATGTGATTATAGAAGATTGTAGTGTTTGAACTGTTTTGTTTGTTTACACCGTAGTTTAGACTGAATATATTTATTATAAATGGCAACAAAACTAATAATAATATAAATCGGTAAATGTCCGCCCATAGATATAAAGAACAAATGACTGGAAGAAGTACTATAAAATAATGCATCACCTTTCTCAGGCTGTCAGTTTTCGATTCATGAAAGATGACACTCATGTACGAGGTTGCCTGGCTGAGACAACATTCAAGCTGAATACAAACCAATGACGCCATGACAGTCTCCAAGGAACTGTCGTCTGCATGGTCGCTTATAGCAAAGATAACAATAATTTTAAAAAATCTTTCTTCATCTGCTTTTTATCACCCATCGGAGTATAGACCCTCACTCAACTCACGTTAGGTCGTCCTGGCCTTTGCTTTCACATGCAGCTCATCCCATATCCTTCCAAATTTTTTTTAACTTTTTTTTTTTTATCTACAGATGAATAAATGAGGTAAAAGTGTAGTGTTGTGTGAAGGGGACACATCATAAAAGGAATGAGAATGATGGAATACAAGATTGCAGAAAGGATGAGAGCTGACAAGAAACACATTAAATACAAATGTTGGCAACAAATCCCATGCTATAATTATGGAAGAATTTTCTTAACGCGGGCAGGTTTTTGCTAGTTACACTCGCCATCACCAAGGGCTGTGAGTCCTATGCCTCTTCATAGCGCAATATAATAACACTGTCGTCTGGAATGATGAAAAGGTGCCAATGATGAGTGTTTGGCGTTGAGCTGAGAACTGACATCACTGAACTTGGAATATTCCCATAAACGCACCGTCCCCATCTTCCGTAGCTAATGAAGAGTTCCAGTTCCGAAGATGCCTGTGACAGTGAAAATTTGTCCGTCTTGCTTTTCCTGTGAGTGTAGAGTGTCACTTTTTCAGATGGGAGAGAGGGGGCGAGAGAGAGAGGGAGGGGCGAGAGAGAAAGAGGGGGCATGAAAGAGAGGGGAGAGAGAGACGGGGCGAGAGAGAGTGAGAGAGAGAGAGAGAGAGAGAGAGAGAGAGAGAGAAAGGCCAAGGAGAGAGGGGGAGGGGCATTAGAGAGAGAGAGTAAGACTAAGATATAAAAAGAGGGGCGAGAGAAAGAGGTGGGGTGAAAGAGGGGGCGAGAGAGAGAAGGGCGAGAGGGAGAGAGAGGGGCGAGAGAGAGAGGGGAGGAGGAGAGAGAGGGGCAGGAGAGGAGGAGGGAGAGAGAGAGGGGGCGAGAGAGAGAGGAGGGGAGAGAGAGAGAGGGAGGAGAGAGAGGGGGCGAGAGGAGAGGGGCGAGGAGGAGAGGAGGGGGAGAGGAGGGGAGAGAGGGAGGAGAGGAGAGGAGGGGGAGAGAGAGAGGGAGGAGAGAGAGAGAGGGGAGGGAGGAGAGGAGGGGGAGAGAGAGGAGGAGAGGAGGAGGAGGGGAGGAGAGAGAGAGGAGGAGAGAGGAGGAGGGAGGAGGAGGGGTGAGAGAGAGAGGAGGAGAGGGGGAGAGAGGAGAGAGGGAGGAGGAGAGGAGGATGAGGAGAGGAGGAGGAGAGGAGAGGGGGAGGAGAGAGGAGGGGGAGGAGGCGAGGAGGAGGAGGAGAGAGGAGAAGGACTAAGATAGGAGGGGCGAGAGAGGAGGAGGGGGAGAGAGAGAGAGGAGGAGGAGAGAAAGAGGAGGGGGAGGAGGAGGAGAGGAGGAGAGGAGGAGGAGAGAGGAGGAAGAGAGGAGGAGGAGGAGAGGAGGGGGGAGGAGGAGGAGGAGGAGGAGGAGGAGGAGGAGAGGAGGGGGGAGAGGAGGAGGAGGAGGAGGAG